CCTTTTGGGTGTTTAAGGCCATACAGTTGGTCCAGATAAACCGATTTATTTTTACTCTTAAGGTTGTTTGAGGATTTGTTCCTCAAGGGTCCCCCCTTTCTCCCTTACTAATACCCTTCTCCTATTGTCCTACCTCTCTGGAGCTCCTTCTTTCCCTTTATCCCCTAGGTTCCTTGTATATCCTTCCCTCTCCCCTCCCTTAAACTAACCCAATTTTTATCCCTATCTCCCTTATTAATGCCTGTTTCCTACTGTTCCTTCACTGAGGCATCACTCTAGCGCCTCACTCTGTGACTTTTGAAGAACCAGGTGATCTGAGATTCTGATCAATATGCCTGTGCCAAACTCTATGTGCTTGGAGCCTCTGTCTGGCTCCTGTGGAACTCTGCTTTGCAGCCTATAAGATCCATGCTGCACTTGTCAGTACTAGCTGCTTCTTGCATGACCTTCATCCTCATGCAGAATGTCAGGTATCCAGCTCCTTAGACACCTGCAGTGAAGGTGATGCACTGACTCAGAAGAGAAGCAGTAAACACAGCGGCTAGGAATTGGAGAGTTACGATCAGACCTAGGTTCAGCTCCAAAGCCTGCCATTTGCTCTGTGAGCTCCCATGTGATTCAGCTTCTTGACCGCCTATGTTTCCACATCTGGAAAATAGTGTTATTAATTATACCTAACTCACCTGTCTTCCTACCTGAAAAAGTATGAATAGCATTTAGCACTGAAAACAGAAGTTGTATTCAGCCGTATTGTCTAAATTATTTCTTGTAATTTACTAGTTGTGATATCAAATACATTTGATATTTGTTTATTCAACTAATGTTGACTAAGGCTCAAAAATGTGCCAAGCTCCATGTTAGAGTAACTTTACTTATTAATCATGGTGTCCCTCACAGTGAGCCTCTGTGCATTAGCACAGGCTGCAGCTTGCTTCTAGGTGAACTGTACATGCCCGTCCTTCTAAAGATGATTGACATGACTCCATCAGCTTCTATCCTTCAGAATTAATACAGTGTCTCCTCCACCTACATTGGCACTGAGATGATGTTCCTTCATCAGGTGATCATTCCTGAACTTTTTCTAAGGTTGAGCATCTACTGAAATGCCTCCTAGACAAGGTGTCAGAGCTGAAAAGGAAACGAAGTTTTCCATTCTCCTGGACTGTACTATCTTGAAGGGGTGGCTAGGTGACCCATGAGTTGAGATGGACAGTCGAGGCGGGAGAGGCTGTGTCACAGGGATTTCCTAGAAAACAAAGCTTCCCAGGAAGGGGTGAACTCATTCCCAGCCAAGAAATAGTATTCTGAAATCACCCTCAGAAATCACTAGCCTTATCACCACACATCCCCATGTCTATGCCCCTTGCTTGAGGTGGGATAGTGTCACCTTGTAGGGTCTCATCCAGAAAGAACTATTGTAGCATTTTGCTCCTGAATCAAAGATAGCCTTATAGAGAGATTAGAGCACAGGTTTTAAATGAAGATTCTTTCTAGTTTTATTTCGTTTTTGCAATGCCTGGGGTCAAACCCCAGGACTCATGCATGCTTGACAAGTGCTCCTTCACTAAGCTGTATCCCCAGTTCATGTGTGCATGCCTACTGAGTGAGCTAGTTGACCTCTTTGCCTTGGTTTCTTCATCTGCAAAATGTGCCATTTCATCTAACGCAATATATTTAATGTGAGAGCTGTAGGAATTCATCCACAAAAAAAGCAATCTGGGGCCTGATAAGCTCTTGCTAAAAGTGAATGCCAATTCTAAAACTCTAATTTTTTTTTAAATATTTTTTTATTGGCCAGGCGTGGTGGCACACACCTTTAATCCCAGCACTCGGGAGGCAGAGGCAGGCGGATCTCTGGGAGTTCGAGGCCAGCCTGGTCTCCATAGTGTAACCCAGGACAGCTGGGGCTAGAGGGAGACCCTATCTCAAAAAAAAAAATTGTTTATTTTCATTTTATGTGTATGAGTGTATTGCCAGCATGTATGTAAGTGTCCCTGTGTGTAAGTGTCATGCAATGGTAACAGCGTTGCAGATGGTTGTTAGCCACCATGTGGGT